TGTCTCGTATTACGCGAGGACTGGGAAGAAATAAGGATTACGATTCGAAGGAAACATAATCCAGCAGAATCTCATATTGAAAGTAATTCGATGATACCTGCACGTTAGTCTCAGCCTTTTTAAATAAAATAAAAGGTTTTTAACCTAACACATATGTTCGACTCTCGCTGTTCTGTATATATTTCGATTCTATGTTTAGTAATTATTAATTAAGAACAAAAGGGCTAGTCTTGAAAAAATTATTTTCAATTTCAGCCAGTATAAAAATACTTTTGGCTTGAGCAGACTCTTCAACAACAGCTGCTTAAGTAAAGCCAAAGACGCAGATCCCGCGTGTTTTACTGGTCTATCATATCCGTCAGGAGATCTTTGAGTAACAACCATATCCTGTACATGAGATCAATTTATCAGGCCGGCGTTTATGACCGACTAGATGCTCGTACACTTATACATACCTTTGATATATGGCTCAGTATTGCAATCATCAAGCTGGTTCTAGAGAATACCTACTAATCTTGGTAAGGCGACCGGCTACACAAAGCTATTTCTCGTTCGCGGCACTAATTGCTCACAGCGTCTGTCAGAAAATCATTACGGATCTTCGCTGTTCAGCCGTTAAAGCTGCATTAATTAGGAAAACCCTGAGACAAAAATCTTATGATATATGCTCTGATCTCAGCAAGAGTGACGCGTGCCGCTTGGCGTTCTCAAAGCGATGCTTAGAGGAGCAGTTTTTCGGTTAAACAAAACCGTAACGACTAGGCAATCTGCAGAGTTTAATCGTTATGATCAATTGTTCCCCTTCTACCTTTGCTTAAAAATAACGTTTGTTAGTATTTTGCAAACACGATTAATAATAATAGTAATAACAAAGTTAATAATGTTAATGAAAGGCAGGGCACTTCACTAATGCTGTCGGTCGTCGTCAAACGCGAAGGTCCCTTAGTGAGCTGACGATACGGCGTTTATAGAGACATCCTTTAGAGCTACACGTGGATAAAAAGCCTAGGATGTTTCTGAGCCTGAAACGATACTTATCGTCAGATTTCCAAAATGTCGAAAAGGTTTGTTAGACTCGGCTCTATGACTATTATGACTTTAATCACTTCCCTGCAATGGTACGATACTATCAAAGCTACTCTATGGATTACCATTCCAATTCTATAAAATACAGCTTAAATAAAACTACTAACATTACGTTAGGTGGTTTTCACTTTGTCATAGTATTCGTTTTACTAAAACTTATTACAGAGAACCACTGACTCGTCTTTTTTAATCAGTCGATCGGTCACCGATTAACAGGTAGCCAAACTTCTTTTTACCCTTACCTGTTTCTTCGCTATGGTTTTGTCTTCATTCCTTCTCGTAACTGTGCGATAGTCATATGGCGACGCTATCGAGCTTCGATCCGAACAAAACGAGTTATCCACTTCGTTCCCGTTTTTGCCTACTAAGCGTAGGGACATATGAGAGGCGTGAGGTTGAAAATGGGGCGCAGATGCAGATCATGTCCTGCTGGTATCGACCAGCGTCAGGGGCGCTACTTAGCTAAGGTAGCACCGAATGTAGAAATGGAAACGTTTAAATCTTTTGCTATGTGATTCCAACTGGACTTGATTCGGCGATGACGACAACCGGTGCAAGCCATGGCTGGGACCACAGGCACCCTCCTCATTTAGCATCGTACATTAGCATCACCGTTGTTATCATGTCTGCGCCTTCGCAATCTTTCGGCGGTTTTTTTCCGTCTTCCACATTTTATCCGACTTGTTTCAACTTGACAGTAGCAACAACATCGACATCAACAATGACAATTACATGGCCACAATGGCTGCGAAAATCTGGCAGAGTTACTGCGCTTTCTTAATTTGTCGGACATCGCATTTAGACGTTTGCTTCGTCAGCGTTCGTTCTCCTTGCTTTCGGCGTATCTTGACGGTCCAATAATGGTCTCATCATGACATTGTATTACAGTAGAAGTTGTAGTATCGTATATTAACAATTGGCAAGCCGAGGAACCAGTAACGATTCAATTGAAAACAGCATTGTGTAAAATGTTTATCTGCCGTAATTCTGTCCACGACTCCCTTGTGTGTCTCTTTGTGTATGCATGTGAGTTTCTGTTTATCAGAATGTTTACTTAACGGGTCAATTTTTATTAGGGCTCCGACGTTCACGTACTATCGAATATTTAAAACCAGATAGTACAAGATGTAATGACATACACGTGCACATACACATGCCAACAAACACATTCACCCATTGTGTTTCAACAGAGCTGCCTTGACATCTGGCACACCGGTCGCTGGTACGATAGAGCATCGCTGAAGGCAGTATTGGTGAGACAATTGATATTGATACTTTTATTATATGTCCAATGGCAGGGTACCAAATGACGTTGGCGAGCCGTCTGGTTTACGCTGTTGCTATGCGTTTGGTTACTTTATTTTCCTATCATCTGTAACTGTAGACTGACTAATTCAGTCACTTTCCATTTATTTCGTAATCGAGACTATTCGCTATCCATTTAACCGACAGACGTCTAGTCGTCACTCGAGTCCTTAGCTGGCCGCCATTTCATTATTACTTCTTTTCGATTCGTTCTTTGTTCTTCCATTTAAAGACATACATATACTTGATTGAATGTATTTCTCTCTTCAGAGGAATCGCTGCGTTGGAAAATCAACCAGCCGAGTACAGCGTTGAACATGACCAGTAACGTGATTCGACCATTCCCGAATTGATCCTTACCACATGCTTTTTCAAAAGTAGGTTTGGCAACTGTGTACCGACTCGTCCGAATGACAGGCGGGGAAAAAAAGATCTTCGATGGATGTCTTACAGTGGAAGTAAAGCGGCGAGAAAATAAAGGGAAAATTACGAAAAAGCCAGCATCAAATAGACGTAAAGATCAAGAGACTCAAGATGAATGAAAAGAAAAATGACCAAAGAAAAATGCCTAGGAGGATTAGGATGAAAAAAGGGGCGGAAGGCGCATCGAAAAGAAACATTCAAATAGAAGTAATTTGCCCGCTGACGGTCAAATTTTAACAAATAGAAAATTCTGTAAGAACAAACTTTTCAAGTACGTTCTGCTATTTTTAACTACGAGACGCTGCAGAAAACCGTCTCATTTCAGCCCAAATGCAGTTATTTATATAGTAGACGAGGTCTTGTCGTGATATAGCTTTGGCAATTGTGTAACGTAGAACACAGCAAATTGACAACCGTGTGGGTACTTAGTCACTTCGAGTAAACCGAGACACGGCATACAATGGAGGATAGACAAACGCCATTGTTTCGCCGGTGGCTACTATCTATTAAGGAAAGGCAGACATTGAGCGTGGCAACAAGCGACCAGTATCAGCAGCAACGACGCGTTAAGCAGACACGAAACCAAGTCACACCGAAATCTAATCTGATAATCCAACATAATCGACAATGTAGGCGGTCGAAGCGCTCCCATTTCAATACTGAGCCAAAAACGTCGAGAGAACAAGCCGATTGATCTGTTTACTCCTCTCTTAAAACAATAGTTAACATGAGTCGAAAAGAAATTGACAAGCAGAACACATATTGATCGATAATTGTACATGAATATATAAATATGAAAACGGAGAAAACAGTAATTATACTTAATTTTGTCAGTCACGTGAATAGGTGATGATTTGAAAATTCGCGCACTCAGATAAGATCAGACCCGCGAATTTTCAAATAGCTTCCCACCACTTCGTCTCTTTCGATGTACTGACACACGTACCAGCGTTTCGTTATTAGTACTGTTTCTGTCTATTTATGAATACTATTGATGCCCAGGTATGGCTAGCGGTGAGCGAATGCAAGCTGTGTATATGGGTTGGATGGTGAGCAACATCATCGTACGCTTACTCACGTTTGATACTGGTTGATTTCGCTTATCGGGCCCTGTATTCTGTCAAAGGTTCGATTTAGCTTGTAGTTCAGTAATACATGTGGATTCTCTATTTCTAGGACCTGCTTTTTTGTGGCCAACAATTCGAAAAGGTTAACGCAGCTTTTACTACGGCTAGTAATGTAATGATACCTACCTAGCTAGTGACCTATCTAGCTGTATAAACAAGACAAGACATGACGAAATGGTTACTTATTTATAATTGTGCATCGCACGGGAACACGTTTGACGCAACAATCGCGCATCGCTTGAACTTATCGGTAAATTTACGTAAGCATCTGTATCATCATATACGTATAATTTAGCGTAAAACGAGGTGCGGCAGGTAAAACTGAAGCTGTTTTTAGTCCGGGAGTAAGCTTTTACATATGTATGAGAGAACAGCCTTAGTTATGTGATGTTTAACTTGATTATTCGATTACTCGAGCACGTTTTGATATGACACATATTTGAGACTTACATACAAATGAAAAAAAAAATTACATATTTAATTCCCAAAATGTTTCGCAGCTGTAACCTGTTTGTCCAAACTAAAAATAAGATATTTTACCTTTACGGTACATCTGGCACTGCTGTCATTATTTCTTCAGACAACTGGCGCGTCACAGTACAAAACGAAGAATGCTTACGTCTGCTTTTCAATCAAGATCATTACGTGTACGATCATTTTAGTAGGCGAACATGTTGCCACTATGTTATTACAGATTGATACTGCGATAGATGCGATATAAGGTAGGATAGAGATCCGAAATCGGACTTTTACACAAGAGTTCGCTTTATGCTGGAAACAGCCGTGAGCCACCTGAAGCAACAATATTTAACGGCAGCAGCACTAGCAACAGCATCCGATCAAAAACTCGAAACGTATATCCAACCAATTCTAAACCACGCTTTATAGCAAGATTTACTTCATTATATATATATATATATATATATATATATATATATATATATATATCATTAATCATCTACCCACTTCACCATTACTAAAGTAGCAAGCCAAGCATAAATTGACGCGTGGAAATGACAACATTCGCATGTTAAAAGTTATTTTTACTCATTGCAGGCTGATCCTCTTCATGGGCTCGCCAAACCCGAATTCGCCTATGCAAGTGTTGCAGATAAAAAAGGTCTCATTCCTATACAGTTACGGCGTATGTCCTCTCAGGCCGTCTATTTTGCGCGCTTCCTGCCTCGACTGTGCATGATTGGGTTGGCAGTTAGTCATCCTCACGTGTTTTACACACATTCACGTCTACGGCGTGATTTGTCCATTGCTGACGAACGTTTTTGAATGAGTTACTACCGTACCTTGTGACACGCTCAAGGTCTTGCAATAGCTGCCTCAGGTCCTGTACGGGTAAAGTGTGTTGAACATTTAACAACGTAGAATCTCAATGAGCACTTACCAAAGTTGTTTACCCTACCAGACACAACAGTGCATATATATAGAAGATTTGTGTGCAGAAACAATGTGTTTAGATGGTTCGTTAAAGGCATCCAGTGTACCACAAACTATCGATACCGAAAAAAATGGATGGAAAAAGCAATTTAGTTTGATACAATCAGAAGGGGCGTGGAGTTCGTTTGAAACGCTGTTTATAAAACTACTTTGTAGGTAGGTTTGACCAAGGTAGGAAGACAAAGAGATAATTGAACGCTGATGTTGCACATATTCATATTTGATCAGCTATGAATAGGTGTCGTAGATAGTAAGCGATCAATCAATCATTATCAAATGTAACAACTATAGCATAAGAAAAAAATATGTTCACAGATGAATAACTGACCACGTGCTAGATCCTGCTAGAAGAAACCTACACTAAGTGATTTCCGTACAAGACGCGTACAAGCCATCTACAGATAAATCCCATACAGTTAACCAGGAAGCGACTTACTGCGCTTCTATTATCTACCAATGGCGCACCGGCTGTTTCATGGATTCTATGTACTCGCACTGTAGGGCTTGTTATCAGCAGCTAGCTGCGTAATAAAGAACAAATCCGGAAAATGTGGCGGAAGATAGAGATATTAATGCATCAGCTAATATTCCACTAGCCTTCTCTCCAGTTTTGCCAACTAAACTTTATCATAAGGCACCGCCCCTTAAGAGTGAGATAAGCTGTGCAACGCGGCCTCTTGTGGCCATTCGAAATACATCACGGTACTATTCAGTTCACACCGATCACTAATGGATAAAGGAAGCGCAATCCCTCAGCAGAATACTGAATACAACATCTCCCAGCATTCAAAATGGACGTAGGACGCAGCAACATGGCATTATCCGATGAAGCAATCACGATGAAGAACGCAGGCCCCGATGGAAATCGGTTGCGTAAAGCAGGATGCGCGGAAATCCGCGCTAATGACGCTATCCAGCCGTGTTCATTAACTGAGTTGCGTTAACCCGTTTTGTGTTTTGGTGTTTGTCGTTGAAAAAGGAACGTTAAATGGCCGGGTCGCAACTTCGAGCCCTATCTACCTGCCAAGGGATAGTTGTGTATTTATAGAGTAGTAATTGTTATCGTCATTGTTTGTGTTTTTCAACACTAAGATGTGAGTATATCCTGGGTTAAATTTAAAGAATAGAAAATTTTCAGTATAAAATAGCATAGATATACTGAGCTGTTTTCGAGAATTACAAACAGAGCTTTTAAGACGCTGCCATTCATCAGAAGACGATGACCGACTGAAACATCACAGCATTTTTCACGTAATTAGAATCCATATTTTTTTGTGCTCTAAAACAAGTTTAGTGGTGGAAAAAGTAGACCATTTGTTCTTGTCCCTGAGAAATCGTAACTTGACATGCATCGAAGCGTTCGCTTCAACGCTATCGTAAGGCACACTGCTAGTGGATAGACGTTTATCAGATAAGAATACGCAATTATTCGCACTAACCGTATGGGAACATGTTTATGAGGTCAGCCAGTACCTAACAACTGTAACCAACTGAGGAAAGGATAGTGCAGACATTTGACTAGAAATCCTAAAACTGAGGTACATGTACAATATCTATAGGCGCCGTTTCAAAGGGTTTCTAATCTAGCTTTTGTTTCGTACCCAACACATTACAGACTTCTTCACCCACATAATTAATTCAATGTCGTGGTTGGTTTTTGGTCACAGAAGCATATCTATAGTAATATACGTAACTGCCTTAAAATAATGCTCTATGCTTTTTTGTGTCGATTTTACATAGATATTAATCAAATTCCTTTATTCACTTCTCATATACTTTAAATATATAATAACTTGGTACACGAAGCCTTATCCTATCCTATATATATATATATATATATATATGATGGCTAACGCTAATGTCATTGGATGGTTTTTCCAATAGTCGATTCAAAGCGTTACTTATTTAGAACCTACCAGTGGTTGCAATAAACATCATAAACCATGACTCAACCATTTTTTGGCTAGTTACTGAGACAAGTTAGCCGATGATTAAACTTGTGAGCAGCGAGAAGCACCATACAGATCACAAAATTTTTATACGCTGCATTGAAATTCGTGCCCTGCATAGCTGGTCACTTCCTTTCCAGGTTTCGTCCGTCACGATTCGCATTTAGTAGAATACGAAATCAACTTCTGCGAGTTTTTGATTCTATTTTACCGGGCTTTCTTAGGGTGCTGGAGTTGATAACTGGTTGAAACGACTACAGAAGCCCTCGGGGAACAGTTGGGACGTCGCCAAGAGATAGATAGGCCTGTTACGGATTGTCCGGTGCAATCTCAAGACCTTTTTTGAAGAACGAGGCCGCTGTTAATTGAAGATTCTGCACTTTACGTAATATGCTGGGCGAAATTTTAGCAGCCATAAAAGATCAGCAATTTTAGGTAAGCGGATCAGTGAACATATGTCAGCAATAGGTTCGAGAGATAAAGCGTACCATAAGCCACAACTCTTCTACCTCACCTGAATTTCAGTGCCTAGGTGTCTGTTGGGTTAATGGTCAGTCCTGATTCCGAGACGACCAAATGTAACCTCGCTGTAGCCTTTTGCGTATAGAAGCGACTGCTTTTCTAAATAGTGATACCGCAAGCTTGGCGAGAACATACGGTGAAGGATAAGCAATCTAAAACAGCTCTGCTAAAGGGGTCTGGAAATATGCCGATCCGAAGCGGGACACTTTCCAATTACTCCAAAAAGTGGACCGTAAAAGAAGTCTCTGTATTCATTTCTAAAACGTTCTTCGCCATAACTGGTTCATGATTCAATCTTACGTATAACTGATTTATTATCCAGTTCTTCTAAACCACCGTAATTACACGTAATGACAGCTTTGACGTAAGTAGCCCTCATGTCAACAAGGCTGGAACTGGAATGACCATAAAATTGACAGGGTGAACGAGGTTCCTCCCAGTCAACAAATAACTACCCTCTCGTGACACGTATTCTCACAACGGCAATTTCCCCACACCGTCTCTCTCTAAAATTGACTTCACTGTCACGTTCGTGAAGATTACGAGGAACAATTCAAGAACAACTGCTTGCTGGATTTATGTAGTACTTTTTTTTTGAAAGGAAACATTCATTAAAAGATATACGATCACCTTAAGTGTGTACAAAAATGCAGTGACTCACAGAGGTAGACCCTTGATTTTTTAAAATGTTTGTACTAGCTTCGTTGGTACTGACACTCGCAGTACTTCTTTGCTGCAGTCTATCGATAGAAGCATACTTCCTGATTAAAATTTTCGGGTTTAAATCTAAGACGTTGGCTGTGGGGTGCGGGTTTTTGACGTGTGTCTTTCAGATAGACTAGTCAAAACATACTACACAGTAATTTGTTTACAGTCTAGCTGTCACAGTTACGTTTTCATAGTGATTTCCTCTTGCTGTGCAACGTTGGATCTTCTATAGGTCAACCTCGGACATTTTTACTTCGATTTTATAGTATTCAATGTACCTCATTAACAAAAAATTCATAAGAAACTAATGTTACCTATTTGCGCTCAGTGAAATAAACATTTGTAGCATATATATATATATATATATATATATATATATATATATATATATGTAGAAGTTATTCAACCATTCTTTTGAAATTTCAACAGCGATGCCAACACTAGCCCCGTCCGTAAAAACACATAGCCGATTCTCTATACTTCATTACATACACGAATATTTTCTGTTTGTATATTAATATCATTGGTCAAATGCTAGGTCATCGATACCATTTTTTTAATATTACTGCAGCAAGGCATCTATTGTATATATATGTATGTACATACATATCTGTATACGATGCGATTTCGTTTCGCTTTATAACGATACCGGTGATGGGATTAGCACACCTGCATAAATAGCCTGTCAGGATTGTTGTTTACGGTGCCGTCTACGAGATCTGTAGCCTCGTTAAAACTTCCCCCATCATCGGAGCTGAGCTGTGAACGGAATCGTGAATCTGCCCTATTACTGCTCGTTGCTGCTGGCAATGGCGCTACTGTATTGCCCTGATCGTGTCTGTGTCCCGAACAGGACATCAGATAATTTCTTTGCCTATATCTTTTTTATATAACGGACAGCCAAGATCCTTCGCTCATTACGAACATAGAGCAACCATTGAGTTCCTGTGATTCGTCTAAGAAAAAAAGTAATCCAGAGACGAAAGGTAGCCGAAAAAAGAAATGCTGTTTTAGAAAAAAATTACATAAATAAAACTAATCAACGATAATTATGCAGGAAGAAAGAAACCGATAAAAGGGTTGGAGGTTAAAAATCGTTCGTTTTACATAAGCATCTAGTACGTCATCGAATCGTGTTTTTGCTGCGCCTTTAACGAATTTGTGATTCATAGTTTTTCTATCGAAATGCATCTTTGTATTGGATGAATAGAGGCATAGGGAACAGAGAAGACACGCGGACCTACCATTGCCCTGATCAACTTCGATCATCCACTGTCGAGCTACCCATGGGGGCCGCTTGAGACCGCAGCTTCGCAACCTACCTCACAACTTCTAGTCTCCCTAGCTTGAATCTCCAACTGCATATGCTGGTCGTTTCGCTAACTGGCCAGGTAGAACTTCGCGTCATCAAATGAATGCGCAATCCCTTGACTTTGGCACAAATTCAAGCAATGCTGGCTGTACATGGCTCAACGATACTGTTCTAGTTCTTATTTTGACTACATACATCGTGGTTATTGGGTTGATTGTTTTCATAATGGCCAGTAGCGTTTTCTTGTCTCATTTGCTTGCTTAGATACGCTTGTGTACACGTGCTGACTATCTTGCTTTGCTCACCTCAGAATAAGCTGGTGCCTCTCTGCCACCAACAGCGGTGTAATGTAAAAGCAGACCTTTTTGTGCGAGCGACGCGCGAACGAACGAAGAAACGAACGGACAACCAACATGTCTACGATCCACCTCTGTGGTAGTGATTCTTCAGCAGCTACTGCAGCCGTTAGTCTAATAGCAGGCCACAGGCTTCTCTTCGCCCTCCGAAGATGACGATGACGGCCTTCTGTTCGGTAGCACTTCTGCGTCAGCATCAAGCATCAGCAGCATCCACAACATTAGCAGACGGCAGTAGGAGCGTTTCGCCATCATCAGCCGGCCGAAACATGAATACCTACGCGTATAGGAACGTGTTACTGTGGTTGTTGTTGAGGTGGATGTTGTTATTATTGTTGTTGTTGTTGTTGTTGTTGTTGTTGTTGTTGCTGCTGCTGCTGCTGCTGTTGCTGTTGTTGTTGTTGCCGTTGTTGTTGTTGATGCTGCTGCTGCTGCTGCTGTTGTTGTTGTTGTTGGCTACGGTTGCGCTCGACGCTCGCTTCATGTTGTTTTCCTTGCCCCCTCTTGGTGAGTCTATCACCTACCGGATGATCATTCGCCTTCTTATGGGACGTCTCAAGTGGCCCCTTCGAATGGCAGAAATACCAGTGGCAGACACAACGACAGTAGCAGAACGAGGCCACTGCTGAGAATATATGTTTTATATACGTGTGTATAGACCCTTATTGTCTGTACACTGTTCGTCCGAGTTTGTGAGCGAATCGTTCTGATGGTTGTAGTAGATGTGCCACTCCTGGTACGGGCGATCCTTCCGCCATCTATGGAGCACGCAAATCAAGTGTCCACAGCAAAGCTGTCCCCATGATGCAGTGTTGGTCTCAACTTGTCTGCGTCTCCTACCCTATAAACGCACCAGAAGTACCAATTAGGACTGGTGAATCGTGTAAGCGTGAATAGAGAGTTCATTCTGTGGAGGGAAATTTAAAGAAGGACAAGATCTAGAACCACTTAGATGAAGATGGGAAACCCCTGCCCAATTCGTGCAAACGAAGACGAGTTAAAAGACCTAAACCCATCATCCATGCTTGGTGGCCAAGTCTGCAGAGAGAAACATCATCGCACAGTCGAAGAGAATGAGATAACAGAAACTGATGGAAGACCGGCCATAACAATAACAACGACCGTTCGCAGCCATCGGCAACGTTACCTGGATTGGGTCATCTCAAACCCATTGTTGCGGATAGACCTGAGAGACTGGCCATGAGAAAGCCTGCCATGATAGGAAATACGATAGAAAAGGAAGATGGTAGTGGGTAACTGTAAGAAAGATTATGGTTTTGGTACTTTTGGGGCTTTGAAGGTCTTGATGATGACGATCATATCATTCTCGAGGCTTCCCGAACTTAGCTTCGTTTTTCTTTTTTTTTGATGACCTTCGAACCGGCGCTGTATTATCATTTGAGTTGTATTGTAACTACCTTTCTCGCGACGACATGGCCGGGGATTTTCCTAAATCTAAATTTCTTATGCCAAGTCGTAGTCATGCCAGCTTACTGGTGCTACCTATGCGGTGCTTATGAATTGTAGAATCTACGATACATTTGTTCAAATTTGTTGATAGTCTGCGAACGATACGGGTGTTTTTTTTTTACTTTTAAACTCCATATATACCCCGTATAGATGTTCTTCGAGTTATTACTTTAACTCGTAGAAGTACGACTGTTACTTCGCCTTTGATTTCAAATTTATAAAAACACAGTTGAAAAAAAAATTACACATTCCGTGTGCCTTCACTTCATCAGAATTATCTAGTTCGCCCAAATCAAATTTCAACCTTTCAGCCTCTTGTTTGTACATTTTTAATGGCTTTACAATCATAAAGAAAGAATGGTATTCTATAACCTGAAGAGGAAAGCTATATTTTTGAAATTGCGCGCTTGTTTTATAACTGAGATCATTTTCACCCAGGCATCTCAAATCCCTTGTAATGTATATTGCAGCGAAGTTTGGTTAATCCGATTTAATAAAATATGGGCCTCTGTTCTCTAGCTAGTTACCAATGAAGCAATTAAAAGCTTTTGCTTAAAATTAGATTCAAACATCTACCGCTTGTAAGATTGGTCCTACTGGGTGTGAAAATTATTGCTTTTGTTACTAGTTATTGTTTAAAGCAACACACAACATTCAAATCAAGTACCTAAAAATATCAATAAATTATAGAAATACTTGTTATAGTTACGGAAAATTGAATTTTCGATGAAAAAAATTGTATTAGAAGCGTCTCTCAGAAAATGTGAATCTGAGGGGATTTGGTGACCATCCTAGAACGGGCGGTTCAGCCTAATTTGCCGCACGGATATGCAGGCCTAATGGCGTCTGCCCTGTACAATTTTCAGCAAAGAGCACTCACTCGAAACTCAGATTGGGCATTGAATTAGCAAGACAGTACGCCAGTGAAGTGTCGAGCTAAACGTGCAACCGGAACACGAAATTTATGAAGGCATTAAAACAGAGCATTCTCCTTTAATATTATTGGAAATCCTATACATTCGTAACGAAATGTTTCGCCCACGTGTCGCCTGCCCCCGCCTTCCTCTAATTTTGCTCTTTAAGGTGCTTTGACGCCTCAGCTCCGCCTTTAGCATTTCCTTTGTTTCACTTAGTGAGATCTGTGGGGTTGCCTTTGCTCAGTACTCCAGCGAGAAATATGTAGATCTCTTGGAAATCCTTTAAAGGCCTTCCGTCTACGAGACCCTCCTACTCGCTCCGAATAATCGCGTTTCATCTTTGTTTCGTTTTGTTATTTTTTTTACCTGCTCTACCTTAGGTATAGTACGATTCCTGAAACCGCGACCGAGGGTTCTTCTTTAAGCCGAACACCAAATAATCTCAGCAACTAAGCCATATCCAATAAAACCAATGGTGAACCGCGTGGAGTGCTAACCACCAACATTTACTTCTTGAATTATGACTCTAAATTACAGCCGTATCGAAGATCAACGAACTGCTTGCACACAACCGCAACGATGGGATCGTTTACAGAAGACACCATGTTACAAATCGAATACACTTGGATTCACATAGAACGGACAACGATAGTATAACAGCCCTATGGCAAAAAAAACATACGCAGAGCGGCCAGGACTACATTAATGTAGAAAGTTTCACTGCTCCGTTATTCTCTTCCTTTTCGTGAGTGTCATCTTTTTATAACTATTATTCAGGCCGTTGTCGGATTTTTTGCCAACTCGAACGACGAATTCCACAACAATATCGCTGCCGTCTTGTGGTACCGTCTCCATATACAAGCTCTTCGTTCGTGCGATTTTTCGCAGGAGCTAAAATTGACGCATTCCAAACGACATCGCTAGCAGAATAACCTCCGAGTGACAGCGACCAAGCAGATCGATCGGGGTACGAACACTTTGGTTTTAGTCAAAAAGCCAGGAAGCGAATCACCTGAATCTTTCTAGTGCAGGCCTCATTACTGTACCTTTTAGCTTTTTCGTTCGCCTCCTGCATCTCTTGCGCTTTTTCTAAATATGCAAGGACGAAATGCTGCCACTATCAGAGCAGTCTAGCTTACACACATCAGCACACAGCAAGCTCATCCCCAAAGCAAAATTCCGCGCGCTTCACAGCATCAGCAGCAGCCGCAGTAGCAACAACAACAATAACAACCTCGGCAGCAATAACAGAAGCAACAGAAACAGCATCAGAAGCAAGACCAACAGCATCCCCTACACAGCAAGTGCCACAGACCAGCACTCATATCAACAGTGGCAGGTTGATACCGCCTGTACTAACTTGCTGTACCTGTAGCGTTTCTCTTCGATTTTTCATCCTCTTCGGCAGCTTCGAGCTACTCAGTCCGCTTCTCGACTGTTGCTAGTTCTGATGCTGCTGCCGCCGCAGCTGCCGCTGGTGCTAGAGCTGCCGCAGTCACGACGACATCGCTTCAGCAAAGTGAGGCGGGTCGCCGCTGCTTTCAGCCGGTTCCCTTTCTCTGAGCATGCCAGGCGCCAGATCGCGCTGTGCCGTCGACAGGGGTGGACGTCCGCTGCTGTGAAGCAGACATTAACTACGAAGAGAATACGATTGAATCACCCACAACGAGGAATAGGCTGTACAGCCTGGCAGAACAAGCATTGTTTATCAACAGTATCATGTTAGGTTGCTGGATCAGTAGGTCATTATGAATAACAACCTGTTGCTCCTGAGCACCTGACTATCTAAATGGCCCAAGATCGACAAGGGTAACTAACGCTTATACAACAACGCCTTGGATTTGATTTGGTGCGATTATCGTTCAATTGGGATTTTACGTTCAAGTTAGAGAGTGCTTTGGAGGGGTCATTACTGGAGTGTGCCTTGTGTGTAAAGTACGTTTAGAGATTATATCGAGTGGATTGTTCGTAAATTTTGGTTTATCGTGTTTGTTATCCAACGCGTTGGTAAAGCCACTGTGCCCTTCCGCCAAAGGATTTCAAAGAAGGATTCGCTCCTACTAAGGAGAATGTGGTGCTAAGGATACACTCCCTATTTTGGAATCGTTCATCGGCGAAGAGTCGAGACACTTACGGTGGAGCCACGAAACAACCCGACGGAGCGGAGAATCCGTCGAGACACGTCGAAGATGTTAATACTAGCGTTGGGCACCGTGCTTTACGCCACCCTAGCTGTCACTTCACCAGGTAACGCTCAAAGTTGTCAGAGATTCGATCATCGTTATATTTTCATAGAATTATTTGATGATGCCCACAAAGAGGCAAAAAAAAAAGCAAACGAGCAGGCTCTTCCGCATGCCAGCCTTGATAAATTAATAAAAATAACCTGTTACGTAGACAGTTTATTTACGGACAGACACGACGTGGGCGCACAAAAAATCATACTTTACCCTATAATTAGCAGTATATTACATCTACTCTCTTAGGTTGGCTCTCTACCGTTAGGTTGCCTCCCAGCAGAAAACGAACCGTCCTTTCTCTACCTATGCCCGGGTTAGAATCTAGACCACAACGTGTCCCTAAGATTAGGGGGCAAATATATACGCCACTAAGCTGTCGCGGCGTTTTCATTTACTAAGAGGTATATATAGAACTTGTAACACCCGGTGCAGTACTCTACAAGTTCAGTGTAAGATTAGGGCTCCATTAACCAATAAATTACGTACAATTGCTTCGTTTTTCCATATTTTAATCCTTAAGGCCGAGAGCGAGTTTCAAACCCTACTCGACGCGGACCTGTTTAAAATATTGGAAAAATTGTCATTGCTTTTAAAATACGTCATTTGCATTATCATGTCACGTCATAAGCGGATGCGCTTAGGTACCGCTTCCTTTCGAAATGCCTATTAGGTCCAGACAGAGAGTGAACGGCAGACAGGCATACATTTCAATACGAACAAGTCCCCAACGGTATCTTGGCGATGTCCAGCCAGTGGCTTCCTGAGACCTACTTTGCAAAAATAAAGGAGAAATAAGCAATACGATACGTGACGCGTATCGTTGTTCGTTTTATTTCTTACAAAAATCCTTGCAGACGCGTTATCCACTTATCCACCATGTATGAGAGCACGTAGCATTGAGTTTCTTCACGAAGCAATAGCATTCAAAAATCTGTATCACATTTAGTCATCGTTATTGCGGCGCCAAGTTTCGGTTAACTCATCTCGCCCGCTGGCCACCATTTGCTTGTCTGTCTGTCACCCCTCACTATCAGCTTCACGGAAATTGACGGTTACATGCCTAATATATGATCAGTCTGTGCATCGTCCGATTGACATTCAATATATATTTATAGATAGTACGTTTCGTCTGTTTTCGATTGTATCAAGGAACAAAATTTTACCGCTGTAGCTATTGTATTGCGCCACGAGCGACTAGTCAGTAGCGATTAGAGAAACGTTTTATACATTTTGGTCCTGCCGGTCGATGATATTATATACGACGGCCTCGTTTTTGCCACCAGAGATTATTATGGGTTAATCGGCGTCAACTGTTGTTGGACGCTACCAATGAATGGTTCGTAATTTCATTAATGCACACATTCTGTACATTCTATGACGTTACGCCACTACCAAGAACACTTATTACCATCCAACGTCGACGATGTCTGCATGCGAGAAACTTGTATCGTGTTTGACTGCCGCTGGTCATATTCAGTTAACTGTTGCTAAATATATTTTACCAGCGCACATTTATCTAAACGTGTAAAAGACTTTGCATACGTTCGTAGTGACTTTTAGCCAGGCTGTACACAGACTGTACCGGTCACGTATGCACGCACATCTTTCTAGCGTTTGGGCCAACTTGACTGTCTCATGCTACAAGCCTCGCTTCTCAACCTGTCGTTACCATGGAACATACAATTGCCCCTGGCTCAAGGGCTTACACTGTGCGACAGGTGTGATTAAATCCAGAACAGGAAACTATTTCACATACCGTTCCAGTACGTCGTTCGCTGGCTGGCGACTGAATGTTATGAACGCGCCAACTGTAAAATCTGACTGCACTGCTAAGCTAAATATAGCGGAGCGGCATTTATCGCGATGAGCTACGTTGGTATATACTATGTCCGTCGTTACACTAGCGACTCCTGACGGCTGACGTTTTCTGCGCGCGCCTCGATACGTTCTTCGTCGAAAGATTTGTCGCCAGCTGCTAGCCAACCGACAAACAGCTAGAACTGGCTTCTAACAACTGTTTGTTGAAAAAATTTTTCGAAACAAGTACGAGTACTGCTATTATTATAGTGTCCACAGCAGTAAAGTTGACGATGACTAGACAGCGAAAGCCCTCTCATAGTTACACTGGACTGTTATTGCTTGCTATATCTTCACAGTAAGCGCTTCATCACTGGATGCGTTCTGAAGCCTACGTAGTCGCCGGTGGTCTGGCTGTTACTAACGTTCGATCATATTATAGAGTAAATCTGTTAGCAATCTCCGATCGCCAAGTAGAATTTTGAGTTATCCTTGGAAGACCGCAGATTAGATGGATACGTCCGTTCGTTTTCAATCACTTTTAGTGATGCGGCACACGAACTGAGATGCCTATCCTAAACTTTTCGATCCCGCCACATCTGCATGCGGTCACGGTGATGACGATGACGATGAGTGAGAAGGATGGTGCGTTCACTGGAAGTGGTTCTGAAAGCGGTAGCGCAAAGTTTTCCATAATGTCTAGCTCAACTTAACGCGGAATAACGTGCAAGCAACTTTCTCGATGGTAGCCTTTACCCGTCGGTAGCGTAATATTGGCATCTGTCGTTGTTTGCCATTCGACTGTCCTCTCAATGATCGCTTTTCCATAGCAATAGGCGGAACGGAGACACAACCTCACTCATTCGAGACGCGACGAACCAACAGATCAACTATAAAGTAGTCGTTTTCGTACCACAGTTGCTCGGAAAATATGTACATACATTATAGGTATTGACTGATAATTTTTTTTTTGTAAGGCGTTTCATTTTTGTAGTGTTTTTAATGATAGTACAGTAGATAAGTAGATCGTGTCTATCGTTGCGAAATACTTGTTGTATGTAGATGCTCCGCATATAGTAATGAAACTGTGTGTGTATACATAGATAGATCGATATATTATCACAGAATGAAAGATATATATGTCACAGCGAGAACCATTCACGGTTACCGCGAATCATCGGCTTCGATTCTATCGGATGTTACGTAATTTACGAATAGGCAGTAGCTAGAATATGTACCTTACGTTTGAACAGCGAGCGGTATTTAAGTTGAACGCTTTCATTGTTTGAAAAGTCATCATTGAACCCATTTTAAACGACGATAAAATGAAGCGTCTGTGAAAACAAATCAGGAATGGAAACGAAGTCGTTTAATGTAGTTTGAGCAAAGTTGTTGAACGCAAAAATCTTTGCTTTTTAGTGTTTACTTGATCGGAGTGGGTTCACTCCTGTCTACTGCCGTTGGCAGATATAGTAGTGATCTGATTGTCTTTCATTACATAAAATTTAGGGTCTCGCTAACAGTTTCGAGGACCCGAACCAGCGTTAGTGTTATCATCGCTCGCTATATAAATAAACGAAAGCGAGGAAGCTGGATCATATTCAGACTTACCCGACCAAGCGTTCATTAAGGAATTATTAATTATATAGGAGATCGCTTGAAATTCGAGAATGACCAAGCGCATTGTAAAGGACACTAATCGAAAGTAATATCACTGATCTGTATAGGTGTACAAACTGATAATAAGCATCGATATGTTGATGACTCGGTGCAATAGCCAGAGAAAACCTATCGCACGATAGGGCGGCATTTCGCAGGGTACCTCGCTCCGTGAGCAAGCACCTCACAGAGCATTTCACGATTTTCTCGGAGCCGTCCCGTTTTGGCGCACCTTCTAGCAGCACCCCTTCCTGCTTGCTCGAACGAAGATTAATGAGCGTCGAATAGCTCCAAGTATGCTCTTCTGACGTTTTGAAATTAGTCTTTGCGATTGGTTAAAGTTTGAGGCAGCCAACACGACTAGCGGTTCCACTAGCTATCATGCGTTTAGCATTATAGATAGAGAGAAAGGGCAAAACAGGATCGACTTAAATAGCACTTACGAGTAGTTTACACATCATCTTAATAGTTCTCATTTCTTTTTGTGGCCTGGACCTAGAGAGTTACAAGATGAAGGCACTAGCTGCCCCCACCAGCGAAATGCTCTTTCACTGGAACCTACCCGGCAAAGACTTAGAAACAGGAGTGGCGCCCGAAAGCGAGCTAAAGAATAGGAAAGCTGTTTCTGTACTAACAGGCATCTGCTGCTATCGTTTTCGAGGGTTTGTGACTTCGCAGTGCCTCGTGGCTGGCCGTTTACACACCCCATCAGATGAACGACGCTTTAGGCTGAGCAAGAGGGTAGAATCAATCGTGAACAGAAAACAACTGAACGAGCCGGTTCATGTCGCCATTCATGTTCGACGTATGGTGAAAAGCTCGAGATATATTGGACCTTTTCGTCCCAGAGACTTCAATGGTGGTGACAATAACTACTGACCAAAACTCCTGAGTAGTCCGGAGGACCATGGCTTGTAGCGTCGTTTAGAGGCCAACCTCTACTTTGAACCAACAATTTTCAATACTTACGCCGCATAAAGCAGCGCCTATGTAGAAGTTAGTTCCCATTGTTGTATACACTAGACATCTAGATCGATCGCGCTGGTTAAGGCTTGTACGATACGGCTGACGTGTTTTCGGGGCACCAGCCTCTGTTAACAACGTTCGTTGAGATCAGGTGAGACCAAAGCAGCTTCGGTTGAAGCTTGCGGTGTCGCTTGTATTTGTGTTGCCCTGAAGGGCAGAACAATCGAAGCAGTCAGCCCAGAAGCGTCCTTCCCCTACTAGACGCTTCTGCCGTGCCTCATACCATATGTTCGCTTAGCGTTTAGTGCCTGTTACGGCACTTCAGAGTGAAAGAGTTCCAAGTGTTCAGGGCATTTGGACGGTGTACGGCGCCACCATAGACCGTATCATATGCCTTGTGGTTTCTCTTTCATAATCTCCTCTTTTACACACTTTTATTCTATTATATTTTGAGGCGCTGAAGTGTTTGAAAAGCTCTGCAGTCTCAGTTCTCCGCTTGGCTGGTTACCAGCATGGCATTGATCTCTCTTCTCCAAAATGATTTATCTTACTAAGCACGTGCGCTTTTCAGAAGCTTTCGGCGCAACCAGGGCAGATCGACGTGGTAAAAGAAAGGGCAGATGCGAACTTCGTTTGCTTCGCTGAAGTTGCTTAACGAACTCTCCGACTCCTGCCGTTTCCTTCGACTCCTGCCGTTTCCTTCGAAACCATTAAGCTGCTACTGGTTACTGTAACTTCTGCTACCTTTAATATCAATATTTGTTCATACCGCCGAACGGCCAAACGCGCCTCACCAATGGAGTGTCAAGTTATGATATCTTCCCGCCAACAATTAGGCGATTTGATGATTTTCCCTTAAATAGGCACATTTGTTGTTGTTAAGCCGGCTGCCGCCATTTGCGGTGCCGCGTTGTGTGCACCTCTGCTCATTTTGTTTATAAACGACACCACTTTCACCGATAGCTACCTGCATCTCGGTTATAGTTAATAACGTTAATAGCAAATAACGTTTACGATAATCTAAAGAATCGCGTTGGTCGTGTTACAGCTGTTGTCGTTGGTATCGGGGAATGCGGCTTATGGTAAAAATGCGGATCAGTCGTTTCTGGGTTGGGCTCGTTGGACGCCAGCTCAACCTGCTCATTGGCTGACTGGCCTACTAATAGGCCATCCAGCAAAACCAGAGAGCTATTAGCCAGCCATATAACTCGTCCAGTCTGGCTGGCTTGGAGCTAATGACGTAAGATAATTTTTATAATGTACTGATAATGAGTAGTCTGGTGGGGCAGAGTAACTGGCACGAAAGATTAACATGAGAAGATGGAATAGGGGTGAAGATCAAACTGTTTTTTTATTGTCCTATTGCTGAGCTGTGTAATAGTCAACGCAGCAGTACTAGAGTCGCGGTCATCTGCATCTAGTTTTGCTGAAGGGCAACTAGCTGTTGATCATGATAATGAGGAAAGATGTGCGAAAAAGGCAAAAGATAAACTGAACGAAAATGAACATTGGACGTCGTACCAGGACACTCCTTTGCCCTCGGAACCGACAGCTAGGACGAAAGGTGAAACAGCGATAAGAACAGCGGTGCTGCGCTAATATAATGTGGAAGCGAGGGCAAATTATGGACGCAGGAGAAGACCACACAAGCAAGCCATAACAACTGATTTAAGTCTAATACTGCATGCTTGTATAATATAGGTCACGTAGTGAGAGCTACAGGGAGAACTTCTAGTGAGATGACTGAGACTCCTAAAAACTACGCTGGAAAGAGACCTCCCTATATTCATCTCATTTCATATAGCACATGCGACGTTTAGTGTCTCCCAAAATTATTAAGAAGCGATTATACATTTACTTAGCTACTGACATCATTGACAAGTGATAAAGACGCTTGTACAACTTACCCAGCTACTGCTTTTGCTGAAGATAGCGTAATCTGTCCCCGCCCCACTAATTATTTGTTGGTTTAATGTTACCCGTTTATTTATAGATATGTATATACTAACGGGTTCGCATTCATGTCGCCGTTGAACGGTTCGTAGCCAGTTATCAATCATTACAATAGGTTGTCTAGGGACTGGCACTTTAGCCGCAAGAGTTTTTATGTCCGCTTCAGAAGTCCCTGATTTGCTATTGGGCTACTGCCACGCTGACGGCTAAATTTGTCGCCATTACTTTGTTTCCCTAGGAAGAAGTTGTTTCCAGCGTTGCGGCGATAAACAATACCTTCGTCTTGGGCGATTCTGTATTGCTTTTATTACTATACCAGTGGAAAGCATGGTTTGAGAGCGTAACTGATCACGTTTGTGATTGTTACAGTAAATGGGTCCAATCATTTTTCTCTGTACTACCATAATTAGAACTATTGCGGCCAAAAAGGGAATAGCTATTGTTGCGTGTCTCGTCTTGTATAGACAGTCACGACACTGGTTCTAGTCAACACGCATGTGTTTGAACTGTATCGGTAATAATCATCCGTATGTCTAAGCCTTTATCGCCATTACCAATTGCTAAATACTCAAGCTCAACTGAACTTGTCGTGTGGCCTAGTTAACATAAAATGCTAAGGCGCTGGGATGCAATGCCTGTTTATTCCCTTGCTTTCTCTTATTTTGCAATTGTTTGTCGCAATTCGATAACAATTGTGCTCGTCGGGATTGACGTAAGGTTAGATTTGGGGCGTTTGGTCAACGGCTGTGACTACCCGCTGGCCGGAGCGCTCGAGAAGCTTACGAGCGATCAGTGGACAGAAGAGCAGACTTCACCGTCACCGTAGTAGAAGTCGCGTGCTGATATCGGTGCGTACACGCTCGACTATCTGATCAAGCAGGTCGATGATGACTAGTAAACGAACCGATTTGCTGAACGTACTCTTTAAGAAAACAATATCATCAATAGCGACACCCATAGCCTTCACGATCAGCCTCTATAAGCATCATCTCGGCCATCTTACCTACTTGGACTACTTCTAATAGCGAGTTCCAATTGCCCGCACATTCGCTCGAACTTCTGTTTCCATTTCTACTGCTACAGTTGCAGCTGACGGTATCATTCGAGTGGTATCTGTCACTGTTCAGCAGGTCTCACATGCTGAGCTCTTCGTAGAACTATTGCCGCGCTACCTGTCTAATAGAATAAGATGTCAGATGTTGACATAGTGCATTGGGACGGCCATCGCCGCATTGGCTAAATATAATATGATCAGCCGCTCTGGTGGATTAATGACTATAGCACCTGCGATATAATTGAACCCAGCATTACCATACAATGCTACAGCAAGTTGACACGACGCGAAGATTGCGACGTTGTTCCATTAACAAACGCTAGTAGGAAGTTCGCTGAAACAATCTTTTCGTGGGGCGATAGGACGCGAACTGTTTGTGTCAACGGCGCGTAAATTGCTAACATCTCTGGCTGTCTGCGTTGAAGCTGTTTGTTACTGCAGCACCATCGTTGTTCCGACTCCGGAATCCTTACGCGTAAAAACGGCCAGAAAGACGACGGCTTGCCGTCGTAATTATTCTCATTCTTTTCTTCGACGCTTTCGGCACAAGCCGTCGCTTTTGTCACCCAGACATCGGTAGCCCACTTGTATGTAAGGCTTGCCTCCGGCGTCGCGCGATGTTTTGTGACCTGGCTGTGTCCTCGTCCAGGCTGACGTTGTCTTCCAGTTACAGCTAGCCCGTTAGGGCGTGGTAGCATTGTAGCCAGCTATAGGCCGGGCGAGCATGAGCGATATTTTCGAATAGAAGATCGCCTCTGATAATTCCAAATGGGGTTCGGTGCTTACGTTTGCTAGTTGTTTATGTAGTAATTATGCGTTGACCGGGACGCATGATCTGACAACGACGCCAAATGGCCAATCCTGAACGATTAGCTGTTCGTCTGTCTATCCTCTGCACCAAATTACACAGTCTACATTATGTAGTTGTAACTGTATTGTGACGATGTATATTGATATTGATGCTACTGAACGGTCTGGGTGCGGCAGTGTTCTTCGATTGTTGATAAGGGGCAGGTTCTAGCTGACGTGGTTGTATTATCGTAACTTCACTGATGGAGCTCTGATTTGAATCACACTGTTATTTCAATGATGTTTTCTACGTTTTATCGGGGTACTTCGTGGCGCGGAAAGAATTCGAGGCGAGAAGTCGAACAACGGTTTGCGTTTTCTCAAGCGAGGACTAGCACCGAAGACTTAGGACCTCTCCTCTTCTAACAAACAAAAAAGAACACCTTTAGCTTCGGAACTGTCATGCGTGCATATATGGTTATGTTAAGTCGATTTATTTCGTTAGGGATATCGGAGAGGGAAAATATTATGTGGGTATGAAACGTATCAGAATCAGCAAATTGTGGTAGTCGTTTGTTTATTAAAAACGTACAGGCAGAGAACCAGTTTCGTATGTCCCTGTGCATATCAGTGGGGCACTTGCGATTCTCCAGTATCGTCTATGCAAAAACTTAGATTGGGCTCACTGAGCTGTTCAAGATCTGAAGCTTAGCCTGAGAAACGAACGGTAAACTCAACTTTTGAAAAGTTGAGTTAACCATTTCTTTCCTATCGCCGGTAATGGATCAGAGCAGAATCGGACAATTTCAGTGGACAGAGCTGTTCACGTTTTGGGAACTGTTAATTAAATCATATCGGTTGAAAATAACCGATATAAAATTCAACAACAACTCGGTTATCTAACAAGATCGAAGTTGTTGCGGGACATAATGTAAGTTATTGGTGGTTCGGTTGTGCTTGACGCGAACAGAGTATGTGTAGAAAAAAAAATTACAGAAAAATGCGATAGTACTGAACTGTATCATATCACTGAAAATAACATTATCAAAATCATACTAAATCAGCGTAATAGTACTCATAATTCTGTATTCGATCCGTTTGTTTTCAGGTACGTGTATAGCACGAGTTGCACGGATATTACAACGGAGGCTGTTTCGCAATATTTGTTATTTTGGTATTTTTTCCTTTTTCTTTATTTAATAGTTGTCAAAGAGTTATAGCAGGCATGGATGCGGGTCATTTCTTAGTCATCTTCAAACTATTTCGAAAACCTATACGAAACGGGCTGGGTGTTGCAAATGATCACATATTTTTATAAAAGAGCTTACTCTATGTGGACATATAATATATATGTATATGGTGTAAACGATGATATCAGTTGTCCACAAGTCAAGAAATTGTATATCGTATTGTGTGGGCGGTAACCGCTTGGAGCTCCGTATAATTAGATAATTGGCTGGAATGAAATAGTGTTTGGACCGATTTGTCGGCTTATTTTTCCCGATAACTGAAATGCTATAGATGCTATAGAGCTTCTACGTTAAGCAAAATATTAGTACTATTTTATAGCCTAGGTTTAGATGAGTCGGTTTGGACTCATCGAGTCGCTCCCCGCCATAGCAGTCGTGGAATATATTATCGGTGGAGTAAATATTTAAATTGAATGTTAGCTGGTCGCGCTCTTGGCTACAGATGGGCACTTCAGTAAACTGGCTGGCAAATATAAAGTTTTGGAAAAAGCAAGCTAGATACCGGTTGAATGCGATCAACATTCTTCCCTTGTCAGCAGCGCGGCCATCATGTAAGTTAGAGTCAATTTTTACTATAGTAGTCGCGAACGATGGTGGAAAAAACCGACATTTCTCCATGGCTAACATCATTCAATGATTTCCCGCACACCCTAAGCCAACACGAACTCACCATGTAGACGAACGGTTACAAATTCCACAGATTAGGACAATATACCTTCGACACAGGCCGAATTGTGACTTCATCTATAACTTCATGACTTCCACCATCGATTCTATTGTTTTCGTTATCGTTGTCTCTTTGCATCCCAGCGAATCAATGCTAATAGGTATAACAATAAAAAAAATAACACTAAATTGTACCGTGTCCATGCATCTGTCGCCGCCGCTGTCAAGGCCGTCACACGCGACGTTGAAAAGATGGCCGCTAGCCAGCCTGGTAGATGGCGCGTGCTTGATCCAGGACTTTTCGTGCGGTCAGCCTAAAAGTTTCGCTCCTTATTTAGCTTCGGTTTGCACATGCCCTGGCAAACAGATAAGCATCAATGCTAAAGAAGCATTCAAGGATAAGATTCAATTAAATGGGTGCCGAATGTGATAACGCTTTTATAGACCTACCGTTCACTGACGACATTTTACATATGTATATATATATATATATATATATATATATATATATATATACATATACACGCAACGTTGTTAACGAGCAAAGACGACACTGTTTCTTTCTGCCTGCCTACTGATAGAAGACGACAATACCAGTAACGATGCTGGAAAAGGGATAGGAATAGTCAGTCAGTGTTTAGTTAAAGCGCAGTGCATAAAACTCAAAAGTTCGTTTTCGAGGTGAATGGGTTTGCAGCGGTCGGGTTCTGACCTTTTGCGCGAAACAACCGCGAACACGGTGACACCACTGTGTATTATTATGGTAGTAATGGGCACAAGACGGGGGCAGAAACAAACATTGGATAGCATTTAACAGAGTCGAAAGACAACTAGCGCACAGCGAAGCTAAATCAAAACACTTCTGGTGGGTGACATTGAAGTTAGCTCGTTGCATGTATCCAACAATGAACAAATAAACAGGGAAAAAAACATATAGCCTATGTTCGTTTAGCAATAACAAGTAGCGTCATAGTAACAAATAAGCAGTGTGAACGTTTAGATTTCAGACGAAACGCTGTTACTGTTCCTAGTTGTAAGCCAACTGATTTGCCACAAAATAAGTAAAAGCACATGTTGAATATGTATGGCCTTTTTATAATATGCCCATTTTCTAACTTTATGGCATCATTTGCTAGTTGTGTTTTTGTCTATTTTACAGCTCCCGTAACGCCCACAGTTACCATTTTTTAAGATAAATACATTGACTTCAGTTGACACCTGATCCCCTGCTGGAAGAGCGCGTTCTAACTGTTATCCTGTACAATACATAGTTGTTTTAGTAATCATGCCAAGAACAATTTGGTTGCCAAGAACAATTATTTCAATCGTACGAACAACAAAAATGGTCCTCGTAGTTGTCAAGTGGCCACAAGCGTAAAAGTCGTGCGTCCAGTTAAAAAAGCGTAAGTTTGGTACGGGCACCTGGTGCCGTCAGGTGCAGCTTTTGTACAGTTGTTGCCGTACTTATATACATATGTAATCCTTGATACTACTGATAAATGCACGAATGTGTGTATTTTTTTTTGCCAGAAACCGAAGCAGGAATGCTTAGACAGCAGCAAGGTGACCTGAGCTTCCGCGGCTACCGTAATTTTTTATTCGAACAATTATATTATTGATTTTTACAGGCGGCACAGACGTAAATGCAATCTGTCTAATTTTCTCTGCTAATATCATGGAACATTTGCAATTCACCATTGTTTTTTTTTAGCGGAGACGTAGAAGTTAACTGCAGCAGCGAGAACAGTTGGTCTGTCTTTTTTTGTAGAAACAGCACGAACGCCTTCCGCCAATCGACGGCATTCAGGCTTCATCCCAGCTTCAGTTCGTTCCATATCAATAGTTTCAACGGCGAAATCTCAAGAAGCGGCGGCCTCAGCAGAGATAATAGCGTGAACCGGTCAGGTGCCACTGTGTCAATTGCGAATTGATTTCCTGCTCTTAGCTCAGTGGGGTTCGCGGTGACAAGGTTGGCGTTGGCCATGACGATGCTGTCACTCAAAGTTGACGACCTCAAGCCATTGGGTCTGTGCGTTCTTTCTACAATCGTTTGAATTGGTTGGCCATTAGCCATGCCTCCCTCGGCCACTCGCTAAACAACAATGGGATTATTGATAGGTTTCTGTTATCGCAGGCGCTACTACTGCCCCCCATCCCCCATGTATTACAGCTCTTAGAATCAACCACATAACCGATGTGTGTTATTAAAGCATACGTGTTTGTATAGTCATATACGGACTAATACATTTATATATACTAGTGGTTTTGCCTGAATTGCAATGTAAACACGTTTGAACGTCGAAGTATCCGGAATCGTACCAGCGATATCCGTAGGCCACATAGCGCTTGAGGGCTCCGGATTGGTCGTTTCGCAGTCTACCGTCGGATGCGAGGAGCCGATCGCGTCGGAATATAAGTGGGGCATCTGGGAGGCGGTTTGTTTTATCGGTTTTCGTCGCCACTTCGCTTTCCATGGCCGCCGTTGTCTCCGTTCCAACTCTGTACAATTTAAAATAGCATTATTATTATTACAGGTGCCCGCGGTGTAATGTCGCAGTCGAAACAATCGAGCCACAGGAAATCTGTTTTTTAGCTGCTAGCTCGCGCAGCCGCGCCTGATGCCTCTATCGCTGACGCTGCTGGCCCAGACCAGCCCCAACTACAAAGACACTTGTTGCTGCTAACAACTGTTGGCGGGTGGTATATTTTGCAATTTCGTCATTTGCTGTTGCCGTCCTAGCCAGTTTACGATGTTTATTGGCGCACGAAGGCTGCCGTCTCTTCGGTTATTTGCCAGAATAGAAACAAGGTAGCGTGAACGGGTAATTGTGATTTCACTCGTGCTTGGAGCAGACGCAAACACCGGCTACATACAGAGATCCAGGGAGGATACATTCTACATGTGGCGTTGTGTCTATTGATACTATCGACATGGTTATTAGCGATGCTAATAGCAGCAAAAGCACTGGCGCTGACGCGTATGTGCGGTCTACTCTCTGCGGCTGGCGGTTTGCAGCTATCAATGCGATATAAGCAAGGTCTTTTCTTGCTTGCTTGCCATTGACAGGCCTTGCCGGCCGGAACCGTCAGAACGACGACGACAACCAAAATAACTAATATATCTTATGTGTGTCTGTGTATACGCGACAGTCGATCCTTGTTGTTGTCTTCGCCGATAACGCTAGCGAAGCTCGAGGCTGTTGCGTACCACTACCACACAAAACGACAATAGCGCCGATTTGCTACTGCTACGGCGAAGACGATATTTTCATGGATTTAAGATTCCGTTGTTTGTTCACGAGTTCTCAGCAACAGAAGCAGCAGCAGCAGCAAAAGGTATAACGAAAATGGCGTCGACATCGGCAGAAAAAAAAAGTTAGATTTTAAACCAGACTTATCGCGCAGAGATTTTATAATAGACTCATTCGCTTGAAGGTAATGGCCCCGCCATTCAGTTCAGCTGATTTGGCAGATCTGCCTGATTTAACAGTAGATCGCTAACTTGACGCCATGTACAATTCACTCAGCGTACGGTTTATCAATGCTGGTTGGGTTGGCAACACGGATCTTGCTTCAGGATCCGTTCCGCTGCTGCTGTTGCTGTTGTTGTTTTTGTTGTTGGTAAGGTTAATGTCTGAAGTCATTTGTATTCTGGTTCTGTCCATGCGTTGTTGTTGTCATCGATGGCACAGGCTGTCGCAGTATTATGGTGTTCTGGGCAGCTAAAATGGTTGACTGCTTTGCTGGCATCTGTGCTACTCTTCGTTTTGCCTTTTTTGAGAGGAAGACGAAGCCAAAGAGAGCCGCAAGGAGTAAAGGCTGAAGCGAGCCCGCAGAGGAGTCGGTAATCGGAAGAGGAGAACAAGCCACTGCCAAAGGTGCTCGGAAGTGGAAATGCAAAAGTCGTCATAGTGATAACAACGTTGGCCGCACAACTGTTCTTGCTGTAGATTCAGCTTCCACTGACGCTGATCCTGCTATTGATGGTTACACGACCAACGAAGTTTCGTTATACATCGTTTCGTTGCTCAAGCCGAGTTGCCGAGTCTTCCCCTGTCATCCCTTCCTATCCACCTTTAATCGTTCACCACCTTTCAATAAAACACAGTTTCAATTCCATCGTATGAAATTAAAAAAAATCACTATTATTGCAATCCTGCTGTTAGCTTTCACATAGGTGGCGGATGCGCGATCGCTTCGATGACGCCGGAAAACCATCACTGATGATAAAACGTTCATTATCGTTGTTATCTTCGAT